AAACATATAATGAACAAAATATAGAAAGCTAATGACAAAATAGTTTTTCTTAGTCATTTAAAATGCAGTTTTGGAACAGTGCTTATGACCCACTGGGTTTCAGAGGGGCTTAAAATGTAGTTAACTACAAACACATTCATGAAATACAGATGTTCCTTTTCCTAGTAAATTGACAGCTGAGGATGACTTGGATCACCTCATGTATTTCTTTGAGTTTAAGTATAGAACTTTAACACAAATAATTCTGAAAATATTTGCTGTAGCAATATGAATGCAAAAAACAAAGAGTATATATGTACTGGGCAAAAACCACATTTAATGATAGCCATAGGTCTGGAATAGGTAACTCCTAATGTTAACTTTTAAGATTTAACACTATGCCCTAAGGCATTCTCAAAACCAAAATTTTGTCCATAGACGTTGACAAGCACAGTGTAAGGCAAGATTGAAGACATCTTATCAGTTGGGACCCCACAGATTTGAGCAGTAAAAATATAAATGTTCTGCTAACTAAAATTCTTGGATTTCATTACTGAATTTTCATTACTGAACAACTACTGAAATGTCTCATGAACAGCAAAATTAATGAGGTCTGCTTTTCTGTGGGTTTTTGTCCTGTGTCCGGCATAGAAATCCCATTCTTGTTACTAATAATCTCCTGAATCCCTATTATTTTCTAAGGTTCTCTGTGGCGATAGCTTGAGTTCCCCTCTTATGTCCCTCAAATCTCTCCCAGATGTCTAAGGATCCTCCAAGGCAATACATGCTCAGCATCTGACCTTGGCTGGCTGGTCTGAGCCTGCTGATAGGCAATTGGAATAGGCAACTCCTGAGCTTCTGCTTCAGCATTTCTCTCAGCCACAACTCATCCCAGGCACCACTTCTCCTGAAACCTTGTTGAACTTCAAGTTTGTGTGATTTCTATCCCAACCTCAGAAGTGTTCAAAAAGTATTGCACACAAATAAAGGACAGGTGGGCATAAACAGTTGCACAAGCTTGTTTCCTTAAGTTTTCTGCCTGAAGAAAAAAAAAATGTATTTGAAGATAAAATTCTGAAATGCACTTTGAAGGCTGAAGATCTTGAAGGCAAATCAAAAGAACCTGCCACAATAATTTTGTTTGCCAGCCTCAGCATTGGGAATGGAAACGAAAAGCTAAATCATATTTTTCAGGGTTTTTTGGCTAATAATGTGTCATTTTCTTCTGCACACAAAAGCTTACATATCTCATCAAAGAAGTAGTGTTCTTGTAGCAGCGACAGTCTAAGTAAGATATAAACAAGGAAAGCTGTGTAGTTATTAAGTCAGCCAAAGTATCTGGAAAAACCAGCAAGCATGAAAGTCTCTCTTCAGGTCTGAAACAGAGGCAGTAAACTGCAGACTAAATACAGGTTGGAAACAGTTGAGTTTGGCATAATAAAATTATGCTTGAAGAAATTGTTCCCAACCCTGTGCTTAACAGAAATGTACTGCTCGTCTCTGTTTTAGATCTATGAAAGCTTTGAGTGCCTGTTTGTTTGTTTATTTCTTTTTCCAGCCATATTAGGTGTTTAATAAAATACAATACTTCTCCTTAGGAACATTCCTTGCTTCAGAGATATCTTTTATATTCCACTTACTTCTATGGTTTTCTTTTCATAAAAGCAAGGAGTTTGTTTAAAAAGAAGTTGCTCCTGACAAGAAAAAAAAAAAGAGTCATGCTTAGTCTAGGATTTAATGTGAGTTTCAGTATTGTAACTCCCTATAATAGGATACAGTTTTTTGTAACTAATGTGGTGTCTTTCCTCATAATACTCTATGTTCCTTTTTATATTCCTTCTCTTCCCTTTTGCTGCAACTTCATTTCCTCTGGTCAGGAGAGCAAACCACTTAGTGATAGATTTTCATCTTAATGTAACAACACATACGAAAAAGGAGAAGGAAGTGTAAATGCGAAGAAGAAAAATTATTATTTCAGACTAACTCTATATGGTGTCTGGAGTTTATGTAGAACACATATGGGAACACATAATGTTAAAAAAGCCACCTGTATTACGTCCTGAATAAGCTGTAATCTAAATAAGATAAGACAAATATAATTCAATAGAGCCACAGTTCAAAGGGGAGTCCCATCAGCTTGCCAGCACTGGGAAAAAGAGAGAAGGGATTTTCTGAAAATCTTCTTTTAAAGGGAGACAGCTGATAATCTATAATATAATGTATAATAATATATCTTCTGTGAATAAGAAACCATGTAGACTGTAAAGAAAAGTACTTTGGCTGGTATCTAAACACCTGTGCTCCAACTTCTGCCTTCTGGATTTCAGGGAGACAAACTGCCCGTTAGGTAGTTGCTGCAGGGCATATTTTCCCTTCCTCTGAGACAAGTGGCGATAACCACTGGTGAAAGACGATGTCGGAGAGAAACCACTGACTGCTCTGGTATGACACTGCCAAAGCTGCTAGAACTGAGAGACCATGTGTGACAGTCATAGGGCAGAGAGACAAGGCAAGGAGTTGGAAGGGATCAAAGGAACATCTAGAAAACAGTGAAAACTACAGAAAGCTATGTCAGCTGTAGACAGGGTTTATGCTGGTGAGAACAAGCTTTTTGTATTTTAGGAAGTATGTATGAAACCAAACATGCATGTGAACATGATCAAAGCAGTAGGTGAGATACAGAAACATCATCATGGGAAAGCTAGTATTTACAGGGACCTAGGTAGGAAATAATCTACTTGAGAAAGAGGATAAAATGAAATAATGTGCAGGAAAGGAAAAGCCAACTGATAGCATCCTCCCATATTTCAGTTTGAGTCTTCTCTGAGACTCACCACAGACTACTGAATTTTAATTCTTGCAGGCTAACCACTTTGTCCATGGGTATCACTTGATGGTCTCCGAGCCAAAAGGCAGACATGCTTATTCAAAACATAAACCAGTGTCCTCAGCTCAGCATAGCCAAATGTGAAATGTCTTCACAGTCTCTAGTATCAGTGAGCACCAAATATCTGCTCAGGTAGGCTAGTTAAAATAATGACTCCTGAGTAGAGTGCTTTCTAATGTAATTCCTTGTAGGAACAACTAAAAAATCCCTCCATTTTGTATTTTTTTGATCCAGGTATAAGCTTCTAAGCTTCTAAATTTTTAAAATTAATTTTCTTTGGAAGTTTGCAGCTGGTATACCTATGCATTGCCTGGGTGAAGCGTTAGCTGCGCTGCAATATAATAACAAAAGAAAGAGAGGGCTGTACTTTCAGGGTTTCCATCTCACATTAGGAGTGACTGAAATGTCATACAGAGATCGATTTCTTGCCAACGTGTCTCACGGACACAGTTCCCATTACGTAATTTCTAGTCCCAAGGAAGTCTCTTAATTTTACCCCCCTTTAAAACATAACTGCTTTCTGAAAATGCTCAAACTTATTCTTCAGAATTACACTGACTCAATCAATGGCAGATCACATGGTTTAATAAATGATCTGAAACAGAGAGCAAATGTTGTCTGTTAAAAAACACATTGGGGAGTGCATAGGGAAAGTAACTTCCTACAATGAATGACAAAGGAATATATTTGAGACTGGATACAGTCTAATCTATTCCAAAACCAGGATTGTTTTATTGTTTATTTCTTTCTTATATCTGGCAGTCACATCTTAGTAACAGAGGGTGAATTTTTATCACAGGCAAGAAAATCATCCCATATTTAATGTAATTTGATCAGGAAATTTTCACAAGGGTCTTCTAGAACACTCCCAGAACACCACTGTAAGCAAATCAGAAGATTTCCAGCGCCCTTTTTTCCTAGCTTAAGAAATATGAATACACATTGAAATAGTTCTTCACAAGTAAAGATTACAGTCTGAAATTATTTTTATGGTTTAAAGAGAACAAAAATGGAGCTAAGAGTTCTCCAGTTAGGAGTTTATAAAGAAAAATAATTTTAATATATAGTAAATTAAATTAATTAGATTAAATAAAACCTTAAATTTAATGTAGTAAAATATTCACTAAAATTTAAACAACTTTCAAACCTGGAAGGTGCACAAAAATATAGGCCTAGGAATACATTTTGAAAACTGTTTATAGTTTTTCTTTTATTATTATTATTTTTCCATGTTTGAAAATTGGATAGTTTGCTTAATTTGAAATAAGATCATCTGAATACATGAAATGTGAAGAGAGTTAGGTACCTTAAATATTCTACTGGTGTTTATTTTTCATTCTTAGAAAATAAAGTTACAGTACCCTCTCCTGTGCTTTGGGTAGTCTATAGGAATGTTCCTAACTCCTTAAGTTAAAGGTTTCAAAGCATCAAAACATATATAGATATCTTATTTCATCTCAGTAGGGTGAGAAAAAAAAAATAGTATCCAAAATATTAGCCAATATGAGCTTTAGTGGGCCAAGAATTAAGTAAATAAAGTTACAGCTGGAGATCACTCACAGACACACCCGTGTCCTGCAGGTCTTACATACAGAAGAGGATTTCAGACTAAAAACTTCCCTCCTTCAGTTGTTTCAGACACTCCACTGCAAAGGAATGGTCCATTCTTCTTTAGAGATTAAGACATGAGCTATCAACTTGAATTCAGTGTATAATCTAAGCTAATTTAAACTCTTTTTAACACTCCATAGTGTATAGCAGAATTCTGTTTTGACTTAATTACCTTAATGATAACTAGGATTAACACCATAAGAAATGTATTATTAATATGACTACGTCCAGTCTTCCCATTGAAGGATGTGAAAATACAGCATCATACTATTAATATCTTATAATTGGAAGATGATTTTAAACTCATAACCTCAACTGCCCATTCAAATATCAGTTGAAATGCACAACAGTCCTACATGGTATGTATTAGTAGACTCATTTTAAAGAGAGTCAAACTGGGGCACAGAAAGCTATGACCAGTAATTAAAATGTATAGGTAAAATATAATGATGGTTTTATTATTGTATAAAGATTCTACCAATTACAAAAATTACATCTAGTTATTTTGCCAACTTTTTTCTAGGGTTTTGGTAGCCCATCAGGTGAACATTGGCTGGGAAATGAATTTATCTTTGCAATAACAAGTCAGAGGCAATATTCTCTAAGAATTGAATTAATGGACTGGGAAGGAAACCGGGCATATTCACAGTATGACAGATTTCACATAGGAAATGAAAAGCAGAATTACAGGTAAGAATCTACTGAAATTATTTTGACTCTGCTGAGTGATAAATATTGTTCATTGTTCACTTGTTAAATATGAGAAAAGACAATAATATGACACTGATTTTCATCAAAAGTGAATAAAGAGGGTAAAAATAAGAAAGAAATCTGATTTCTCAGTACTGGAAAATTAAACTAACATATCTGAGCACAAAGGATAATCTATTGATTGTGTTGCTGGTAGAACTGCTCAAAAACTATATAACTTCTAGCATATCTGAGACCATCAGAACTCAAAACTGAATGGAAAAAGGATATGGATTCTTCATTACATCTTCCTATCTCAGAAGCATAAAACTGAAACAATGGATATGGGAAGAAAAGACAAAGTTGATGTTAAAACATCTGATATTTCCAAACTAAAAATTCAGTGTAAATGAAGAGGAAAAAATAGAATGCTGGATCTTATTGTGAGGAGATGAAACACAAAACAGAGTTTAAGGTACTGGGTAGCCTAGATTAATCATCAACAGCAGCATGCCACTTATAGTTCAAAAAAGACATTTGAAATTAAAAATTTTTCCAATTCTTTTCTCTCATTTTTTTTTTAAGATAAGAAAGTAGGAAACTTAAATCTGCTTATAAAAAAAAAGAAAAAAAAACCTTGGAGACACAACAGATATGGATGACCTAAGTGGTTTAATTTTATTTTTTATTAATTTTCGTTTCATCTGAACAGACAGTACAATGCTGGAGAAAGAAAACGAAACCCAGAATCCTAAATTATTTATTACAGCACATTTACTTAGCATAAGACTTAGGAGAGAAACAACTATATTGTAAACTCAAACATTCAAGTCATAGCTTGTGAAACTAGGTTGGTATTTAGATTTTTAAATTCAAGTAACTTGATGCTCAGAAATGCTGATTGCCTCCTTCCCCCCTGGGCCTCCAGAGAAATGGAAGTGAGAGAAATTTGCCCTTTCTGCTGACAGAACTCTGCCCAGGCGGGACACAGTGTAATGCCCCTGTCCTCTGGGGGTTGTCAGAGGGCACTACTGCATAGTGTAGAAGCTCAAAAGCTATGTTTAGAAGCAATATGCATGAGTTTAGTTCTTGCATGAAGCAAGGATGGTCCCATGGCACACAAAGGACAGCTCTGTCCTCCATTGTCTCCAGCAATGCCACCCCTGTTTCCCCGGATTTGGGAAGGTGGAGTACCCATTCTGAGGTGCTCTTAGGCAAAGAATGAATATATGTAAAGGAAATTTCTCAAAACAGAGGCTAGAAATATTTATACAAAACATAAAAACAGCAGTGTAGAGGTGGATAATATGGGGCCTTAGATATTGGTAGAAGCAGATTCTAAAAAATGTAAGGAAAAGGTAGGAAAAATATTTGCAAGTGCGGAAAAATATCAAAGGGCAGAGTTACACATAGCTCTAAAATTTGTGGTGAAAATCAAAGAAGATGCCAGGACTGTTACTCAGAGGGTGAATTAAGATGGCTGAATTTACTAACAAAAACAGTGCATTTCTTGCTCACATTTATTCTGTAGTGAATAGGGACAACATGTATTGTTGAAGAATCAGAAGAATGTTGAAAATTTAACTTATGTTAAAGCTTATGTTAAGGAAGGGTTTCTTTTCAGGACTCATCTGGGTTCATTCACGGCAAAACACTGAGAGAATTTCTTGGTTTGTTTCAAAATGGTAGACTGTATTTGTAGTAAGATAGTAGAGCAAGTTGGAAATGCTTAAGGGATTTCTGCTTATTGTAAGTCCATGTAACGTGTCCAGAGTAGATGAAGAGGCAAGGAGTTTGGAGGAAGGGCTGCAACTTTGTCCCTCCAACAGTGTGGGAACTCTGCTGGGCACTATGACCTGAGGCTGCCTCAGGTGCCAACTACCAACCGGGATGAGAACATGGGCTTAAGAAATTATGTACAGCTGCCTATGTATGTTTAATTGATTGCCCTTTTTCTGGAAGTTTTAGCCTGACCCAAGTAGCACTTTCCCAGGCAATTCCTGAACACAACTGTGGGATCCCATGGAGTGGATCCCATGGACTTTTCTTTTTCCGATGTGAGCAAGCCCATGTTAATTTGTTGGGGAAGAAAGTCTAGCCATACAGACATGACTAGTGGTGTGCCACTAACTTTGAAGGCTGAAGAGCAAGCCCTAGCCCAAGATTTAAACTTTATTCAAATTTTGATATGTCCTTTGTTATCTGTAATAAACTTTGCCTCAAAGAAAGAGCCTTTAATGGATTTGGGCATAGGATTTGTTTCTCTGCCTTGGCTGATAACACAGGCACTTGGAGATTTCTTAAACAGATTAGGTTTAACATATTGATGGTCATCTGAGTAGCCCTGGAAAATCATCCTGAATCAGTCTAGGTCTCCAGCACGACTATGTGAATAGGGAAATATTTAGGAAAGGAAAGTAAACCCACTTTCATTAGAAGAAAGGGATGTCTTTTGGTGATATAAACCATATTTTCTGAACATGGAAACAACTGGGAAAACTGATCCATGAAAATTCTTCTTTCTGAACAAAAAAAAGCAAAAGACATCTTCAAAAGCTTACAAATTAAATCAGAAAGGGTGTACAGGCCTCAAAATATATAATGTTGAGTAACAGAGATAAATTCTGCTATCCATGTTCAAGTCGCTTTTCCACAAAAATCAGAAGGAATCTGACTTGGGACTAATGACTGCAGTTTTGGTTCCTGTCCTACTCCATAGTCCAGTTAAAGGCCAGAATGAGCTCTTCTCATGCTGTCTGTGTGGCCTCCATACAGTACAACTGAAGTTCCTTTGTCTAGGGAATGGGGAATCAGTTCCATTCCCATTATTCTGGAATAAATAGAGAGGGAAACATGAAGAGGTAAAAAGGTTCTGTCCATCTTGGTCCTTTGGGTTTCAGATTAATTCCTCAGTTATTTTTACTGAAACATATTTGAATATTTAGAAAAAGAAACTGAGTAACACGGTGACGGTTCTGGAAATACAGAAGTGTAAGCCATATGCAAATCTTAATTGGTTTTTGTGCTTGACAAATGCACTAGTGCCTAGTCCAGACAGATATATGTCCAACAGACATTTTGCAAACCAAAATTATGTTGGGCTCTTTTAGAAATTATTACAAGAATGTGTCCTATGACATAAAAGCTCTTTATTTTGCTTGCCAGCATCACTATCTGTGATAGAAACAACTCCAGAAGGCAGACCAAATAAAAGCCTGATTATTGAGTCCTAAACAGCTGGCCACCCTTCAGAGAATGCTGTTTTCTCTTTATCTGAGGAGCTGCCATTAAGAATTTAAATGATTCCCCTGAAGTTGAAAACCACAGTTCCCAACCTCCTGCCCACAGTGCCTTTCCTTCACAGTTGTCGGGCATTTGCCATGTTTGCTTTCAATACCACAAACACAGAACAGCATACTTTTCCAAACTTTAGTTGCTGTTCATTTGAAATGATTTTGCCAAACAAATTAGATGCTCTCTTATTTTGGAAGCTGTTAGGATTTTTTTCTGTTGACCCACATTGAATGTTGCTTCTTCAACACTGTTTGCAAAACTAAGTAATTGTAGGCTGGCTGCACTCTGCATTAGTTTCAAATAATAGAAGTTCACTAATAAATAATAACCAGTGAAGAGACAATTTTCAAAGCTGATCTGGGCAGTAGATCAAGAAGATCTGAAATAGAGAAAGGGTATTGAAATGAAAGGGAAAGCTCAACAAGTGGAACACCTTTGATTTATGCTATGGCAGTACCTTGTACATTTGGAAGACATGAAAAAAATTAAGGTTCCAGCTCTCATGTTTGAATATAGTAAATTAAAAAAAAAAAAAAGAAAATAAATGCAAGATGTGATAAAATGTGTCTGAGAAAATATGGAAAATTATTTTCATGCAGTTTTTCCAAAATTCAACCCTAACGTTATGCAAATTTTGATTCATTCTGGATTACTCCCAATTGGTGATTTCAGAAGGGTTCTGTTTTTTCTCTGGTGTGTTTGTATTCTCTTTACTACTTTTTATTAGCCCAAAGAATCTATGATTTAAAAGAGTAATGCTGAACACATGTATGTTAAAAATATACTTGTTTGTCTTTCAAAATGAGACAGCTCCAAAAGGGTTTCTGGGAATGCAGAATGAAGTCTATTTATCCCATATGATGACTGCATAGAAGAAAGTTGAGATGAGAAGGTGGATAATGAAGCAGTAAATGTATAATGATGCATGATAACTGAAACAGGAAAATCAATGTTGCACCACATGTGAAACCTTACAATAGCATGGAGGTATCTAAGTGATTAATTTCCTTTAGAACATCCTTAGGCTTCTTATCTATGCAGAACGATTACGCAGAGGGCTGTCTGCAAATATGATGAACTCTCTCTGACAGTATCTTTGCAAATCTTACACTGTAGCAAGTAAAATTTCCATAGAGTAAGAAGAGTCACATCTTGCAAGCCCCATTTAGCACAGTGTTTCTTAATTTAAGTCAAAGGAATTATTCACAGAACTATAAAAGCATTAGTTGAAAGAGACTCCCAGAAGACACACAGCCTCCTCTCTTTTCCTATGCAGACTCTATCTAGCCCACTCTTGATAGTCTGTTGACATTGTTCGACTTTCTTAGGAGCTGTACAGATATGACACACTGCTGCTCTGAGCTGTGTCCACAGATCCTCCAGAATTAAACAGGAATTGGGATTTCAGGCACCACACTCCATAATCCCACATATTAGTTAACGAAAGCAGATATACCGATGCTGGATCTTGAACAGCAGTAATTTCAGCCTGCACACATATCTGGTCTTGCTACTTATAATACAGGAGCAATACGTCCAAGCAAGACTGTGATGGAGAATGGGGGAAATGCAATTTTTAATTGGCTGAGGTATTTGTACCTCGGAACTTTCAGAGAGGTTAAATATACCCTCACCTTCCTATGACAATATATCCCAGTATTTAGTCATTATTTTATTTAGAAAAGCTTTCCATTGCTGCAATGACT